ATGAAGTGATGGACACTGCGTTCGTCGGGATATCTCCTGCGTCTGCGTCCTGTTCGCTCTTGCCAACGGGCTCTCCAATGGCAGCCTGGGATTTTATGTGGATGAAGGCTGACAGAACCAAGCCCTGTTTCTGCGGGTATTTATCACAGGCTTTACTCACGGAGTCCTCGTCGTGGCTTAGTGAAGGGAGACATCTGGTGGGGATGGATGGAGAATGCAAGGCAGGGAGGCCTGCTGGTTTTTACAGTAGGTGGTAATTTAAAGGGAGAATCCACCCGAAAATTCAATTAACAAGACTTAGCAGCTTTAATTTGTGAGTTTAAATGAGTTTCCCCCTAACAGACTGACTATAATGACGTCATCTGGGGGAAAAATATGATAAATTAATATGTTATATTGTTTATTTTGAAAGTTCATTCAGTTTTGGAACAAATCACATGATTCGGCTTGTTTATGTCATGCACAAAAATTAATGTTGCCAAGTCATTATATTATATCCATATATTGATTATATAATATGGATAATAATTCATTAGTGATTAAGGGGTAGGACTTGATAAGTTTCTACCTCTTCCTTCATGTAAAACTGTGAAACTTCAATCTTGATGATGCAATTTAAATGTCTTTTTTTGTGTATATCTGTTTTCTTTCTTTCTTTCTTTCTTTCTTTCTTATTTTTTAACCACTGCTATTGTTTAACATGTTCGAAATAAAGATATCAATCAATCAGTCCCCCTGTTTATATATATATATTTTTATTATTTTATTTCTGTTTATTTCATTTTATTTTATTTAAGAAAGGAAAGTGCAAATTAATCAGTTCACATGGTATAAAAATGCCAGAATTAGCTGAAAGACTATTTCTCATCTGTTGTCCCTTGGTCAAGATGTTACACAAGGCTACCTAAAATACAACAAAGTGCAAAACAAACAAACAAACAAATCAAAACAAAACAATGCAAAATAAAGACAAGGAAAACCGGGCATACAGTTCAAAATACATCTTTGAACGCATCAACAAGAAGTGGTTTTAATCATCAAATGTGTGATTCAGTGCTGAAACTTGAGGACAATTTGATGCAATATGAAACATGTAAATAATAAGAAAAGTTTATATACCATACCTCATTATAATCACTTATTTATTTTTCTGGTGAGTACATTTGTCTTTTTTGACAACATGTGAAGTCTGGGATGTCTGATTGATCATGTTCATAATGCTCTTCTGTAATTAATATGTGTAGGGTTTTCCCTAGAAAAAGTTCAATTACCCAGTTAATTATTATTAAAAATACAATGACTAAACAAAACTCATAATTATAAATATAAGGTAAAAAATCATCATCATAAAATTAATGAATCAGTGCTGGTCGCCATATGTGTGTCTCCAATGAATCACATCAAATATGCCAGCTTGAAAAGGTGTGTTTTCAGACGGGATTTGAAAGTGGAAAGGGAGTCAATATTATGAATGTCGTTGGGGAGAGAGTTCCAGAGGCGGGGGCAGAACGGCTGAAAGCTTTCGAACCCATGGTAGTCTATTGTGATGTGAGTTGGATTGCAGAAGAGGATCTAAGGGTACAGGAGGGTGTGTAGATATGAAGGAGTTCAGACAGGTAGGAGTTGTCAGTTTATTAGGGACAGCTCAGTAAAACTAATGCAGTCTAATACAACAGTCCTGCAGTAAAGTGTATTACATTGGTGATCTTATATTTTGTCTACCCTTACTGATCAAAATGGGGTGGACAAAATATTTGAAACACTGTGTGAAGTAGTAGACTAAAACTCAACAGCACAATATCTGTAGCTGCCAAAATGAAGAGAAAATTGGATGTATATGAACTTTATGAACTGTTGTATTAGACCACATATGTTTTAGATATGTGCACCATAAACTGACACTGAAATGTGTATGTATTCACTGTCTTGTGCAACTTCAAACATCTTAATAACCCTACAAATAAAACAATCTGAGGAGGGAAAAAAAATCTGATTTTGGTAGAACTGCTCCCAACTCATGTCTACACTTTGAGGCCACAACCTGTGATGAGGAGTTTTCAGTAGATGCTTCTGAAAAACCAAAAAGGCTGGACACCACTGAGATAGCAGACGAACAAATACACACACAGTGAGTGAAAAATAGCTTCTCTTGTTCTCCTGCAACCCACTGAAACATTAAATACAACCCTTATGAAATATGAAACAGAGGTGTTGACTCAACTGTGTGAGTATTTGAAGCTGTGTTTTTTTTTTCTTTATTTATTTGAAAGGGACAGTACACATTAATGAACATCAGTATGTGAGTACAAGTGTAAATGTGTCGGAGTTAGCAAACCTGCTAATTTACATCCGTAGTCCCTTGGCAGGTAATAGACAGACAGACACATAGGAGGTAGACGAGAAAAAAAGAAGGAGTAATAATATTAACAGTACACAAGGAGTTCACATTAAAATACCCATTCATACATAGACATAAAGTGCAGTGTGGATTCTATAAAGTGCCGGGTGTAAAGTGCCAGTTGTTAAAGTGCAAGTGCATGATAGTTAAATAGATCCACATGTGGTGGCCCACTCCTGCCGCTTAGAGTGGACCAAGACATCGGATACTTAACAGCAGATGAAAAGTCCCATTCACAATTTAGGTACACAAAGATAATACATCACAGTGCAGTATAGTGCAGTGCATGCATACATACGTATATGTAGGCATGCACTGCACAACAACAATAACAACAACAAAGACAGTGCAAAGCATGGCGGACAGTCACAGAGCACGGCACATACGTATATGTATCGGGCTCTGCGAGAGGTCCGCCTAGCCATGATTACAGTGTTGGTTTGTTTTGAGCCAGTTTTGAGGTGGGCCTTAAAGGTGATATAGGTAGGGCATTCTCTTATTGTACATGGTATGTTGTTCCAGATGTTACTGCCCTTAACCGACATAACAGATTGTCCAAAAGTCGTGTGTCTGTAAGGTACTTCGCAATCTCCCCTGGAATAGGCTCTGGTGGTTCTGCCACTGCTAACTTTAAGTTTTATATATTCTTTTAATGGAGGAGGTGCAAGTCCATTCAGTGTTTTGTAAATAATACAGGCGTACTTAAGAACTTTAAAATTTTCAAAACTCAAGAGGTTGTACTTCTCAAGGATATGGCAGTGGTGGTGAGAGATCGGTTTTCTGTCAAGGATTTTTAGGGCCCTTTTATATAATGATTCTATTGGTTTAATTGTAGTTGTTCCAGTGAGAGACCAGTTTGTAAAACAATATTCAATGTGGGAAAAAATCATAGCATGCATAAACATTCTGGCCGCGTTAACTGTCAACGATGGCCTAATCTGCTTGAAGTTAAGTAGATTGAATTTGATTGTTTTTGAAATCTTTTTAACATGATTTTTAAAAGAGAGAGTAGGATCAAGAACAACACCAAGAACAACACCAAGGTACTGGAATTTATGATGTTGCTAGGTTGGATGACACTAAGTGGTGTTCATAACATATGTATTTTTCCATTTAAGTTAGGGGACAGTAGAAGTGTTGCAAAAACACATAAAACCTCTGGAGGGAAAGGAGCACTGACTACAAACAGTAAAGCATCACTGTATTTGATCATCAGGAGTGCGATCTCATGTTGATGTATTGTATATAAAGCATGTAAACTAATCTTACTGTCAGTAGGGTGGCGGCATTAGGGTGCAGTGTTTAGTATTGTTGCCTCACAACAAGAGAGTTCCTGATTCAAACCTGGGGTCGGAGTTTCGAACCCTGGGGTGGGGGAGCCCTTCTGTGCGGAGTTTGCATGTTCTCCCCGTGTCAGCGTGGGGTTTCTCTGGGTACTCCAGCTTCCTCCCACAGTCCATGCAGGTTAAATGGTGACTCTAAATTGTCCGTAGGTGTGAATGTGAGCATGAATGGTTGTCTGTCTCTATATGTCAGCCCTGGGATAGTCTGGAGACCTGTCCAGGGTGTACCCCACCTCTCGCTCAGTGACAGCTGGGATAGGCTCCAGCACACTTGTGACCCCTAACAGGATAAGCAGCTACGGACAATGAATGAATGAATGTCAGTGGCGTACAGTAGTTGGGACGGGCTCCAGTGCACGCTATTATGATGGGCCCTAGTGCCTGATTTTGCGTCTAAACAAGCACCTGTATATTGTATCATCTCGTCACATGATTAAAAAGAGACTTGACATTGGACAAAATCAACATGCATATCACCCAGCTGTAATCACTGCAAGTTTGTTTATGACAAAAATACCATATAAAAAAGAAACATTTTATTGTGTATTTTTCATTGTTAATTTATAGTTTTTATAGTTTATGTGGAGTAAACACACAATTTTGTTAAAGACTGCAACTAAATATTTCACAAATAAGAAAGAAAGAAACTATGATAGAGATGGGTTTGCCTTTATGAGGGCATATATAGCAGATGGCACCATTTCTATGTTGATGTGAGTTCTTTTTTGAACAAATGCATATTTCTGAGGTGGCATTCTGAATCACTTGCACAGATTCATTGTTGCTGATCCATCAAACACATTATTGGACAGCCTGCTTTCTCTACAGGCCCCTCCACATCTTGGGCCCCATTGCAACCGCACTGCCTGCACTGTCTTTATTTACACCCCAGCTTACTGTGTAGTCAACATTTTGGACCTATTTGTAAATTAATCTTATAATTTACACATTTTCTTTAGACTCCACACAATTAAAAGCAAACTAACATATTTTGAGGGCTTAATTTGAGCATTGTTTTATGGTTGCCTAAATGCTTTCAAGCTGTAGCCTCATATGTGATTTTTAAAATTGTGTTTATTTATTTATCTAAGGATTCTTGGCAGTGAAATCCGCAAATGGTCAGCAGGGGGACCACACGCACACGATATGAAAAAGAAGAAGCAGGAAAAAAACTTCCTCAAGGAGCAGCAGCGAGTGTATGAATGAAATGTTGGTGAGGACTCACAGGTAGTTATATTTTGGTGCCATGACATGACAGTGTTGCATGGCAGTTCATTTAAGGACAGTGTAAACGCATGGTTTTACGCACTGAGGGCCACAATGCAGCTGTGGCAGGTATTCTGGGCGTGGTTTAAACCATAGGTGTGTGAGGAAGAGGTCGGTGTCAGCATTCCCAGCTCGCGACGATACAGGAAGACCCACTGACATCTGGATTTAACTCAAACGACGTGCAAATAGACGTTTTCTAATCACTAGTTTATAAATTGAGGATCCATACCTGCCGACAGGTTGGGGAAGGTGAACCTGATCCTGCTGGACTTCAGTTGGAGCGCTTTTGGAAGATGCATTCCGCCAGATATGCGTACGACGTAAGTGTGATCAAACTATCATTATCCTTAGTAGCAATGAAAATGTGCGTGGTTGTCTAACATAAACAGACATAGTTTAACCACAGTGTGTTTGCTTTGGGCCTACACCTGTCTCTGACAGTGTTTCTTGTAGGAGGTGTGTGTGTGTGTGTGTGTGTGTGTGTGTGTGTGTGTGTGTGTGTGTGTGTGTGTGAGTGTGTTTGCAGGAGCAGGCCTGCAGTATTTCAAACCTTCATACTCTGACCTTTGACAGCTTTTCTATATATGATCATCAATATGTTTCTGAGCCTCTCTCGTCCCAGGATCAACACTGAAACTAGGATTAAGTTTCCCTCTGAATGAAAATGAGTAAACATGGGTCACCTGACTAGTGTATAGAAATGAGTCATGGTGTTGTCACTTTGGCCAGTGGGCTGTCATGCAAAGACACAGTGGGAAGTTTTGATGTTGGCATGAGGCAGGTATGTTAAGTCAGATACACTGCTGTTCACCATTTTAAAACATAATCTGCAACATACTGGAAAAACATGTAATGTGAGATAGTGATAATGTTGTTACTTGCAGTAATTGAAAAAAGAAAAGATTATTTCCAACATTCTTTCACTGAACAAACTGAATATTGAGCCATCAATGTAAAAGTGACAGTTTCGGTCTAAAATGCAGGTTTCTACTGATACTCTCTTTCAGCTGACTCATAAAAACCTCTGAGGGCCATATTACAGTCCTTCACAATGTGTTTATTGTGCAAGTTTACATTGCAATGATGATTAGAAAAACGGTGCCCTACTTTTAAGGTGGGTTTCTTCATATATATAGAGAGATAAATTCTTAAAGTGGTGTGACCTATTTTTGTAGCCTATCACTTACCATCTGATTGCCTGTGGTCTGGACCCGCTTAGATACTTTTCTAAGGAGAGTTGATCTGTGCGGCTGGGAAAACCTCACTGTGACAGTGTTAAAGCTGTAGCTGGTAACTCTTTTTTTTTTTTTCAATGTTTGCTGAAATTGTCACCACATTCCCCCAAACACCAAAATGAGTCAGATAATCTATGAAAAAATTCATATTCCTCAGCCTGCTCTAAAGCACTTCTAATGGCTTTACAGCATGTGACTGAAAACAACCAATCAGAGTCTCTAATGCATGGCAATGTTGGTCTGGCTTGCGGGTGGTGCTTGGTCACAAATGTAATCATTTACAGCTTAACAGTGCACTGAAAGCTCAGGTAGACAGTTTAATTGTGGCATCACTGGCCAAAAATCCCATAATAAACGCTGAGCAAATTGTAATTCAAGTGTTCTGAGAGAAAACTGTGGTCGTGGACTGCACTTGTATAGCGCCTTTCTAGTCTTCTGACCACTCAAAGCGCTTTTACACTACATGTCACATTCACACAGTCACACACCAATGGAACAGCCATTGGGAACAATTTAGGGTTCAGTATCTTGGCCAAAGATACGGCAACATGCGGACTGAAGGAACCGGGGATTAAACCGCCGATCATCTGATTAGCGGATGGCCCACTCTACCTCTGAGTCGACATGGAACGTTAAATCACACTGTCACATTATTATCTATGCCCAAAGTTATTCAACCATATCAGATTCAAACGTAATTCTGGCTGGCTGGCGACATGGAGTGCGGAGAGAAATAAAGAAACATACATGATGGTCAACAAAAGTTTCCACATCAAAATATATTAGAGCTGTGTTACATCAGCAGCTAGCCTACATTATGTGGATGGTTATCCCCGGAAGATTACTTCAACAGTTAATGTGACTTTACACAACAGAATTCCATGACTTTTCCAGGTTTTCCATGACAGTGGGAACTCAGTTCTTTTGAAGGGTTTCTTATTAACAGTTCTGATTAGTGGTGGTGGTGCAGGCACAAGTCTCGATAACTGCACCTCCAATTGGCACTGTTTTCAAGCTTTAGAAAATCTGGCCCGTTACGGGAGACTTTGGCTGTTTTCAGAGCGAGCAGCTGTCAGTCATGTCAATCAGTGCTTGTGAACTATGTTCAAACTGCAAACTAGATCACACTGATCAAATATGATGCAAGATTATGCTGCTGCGCTGGCTATTTCTTGTCTCAAAAGTTTTCCGAAACATATTTTAGTGAGTGTTTAGTTGTAAAATGAGAAAGTTGGTTTGGCCATTGGTGGGTGCTTTTTCTCACGACAGTTTTCAACATGACGGCTGGGTGACGAACTGTCTCATTTTACAGTAAACATGCTAAAATATGTTTCGGAAAACTTCTGGGACGAGAAATAGACAGTACGAGAGTTGCCTTGTACAATTTACAGCAGTAGTTCTCTGAGAATCTTTCATATTCAAGCAAAATTCAAATCAGAAATCAAATTGATTCAGGAAATTGGTGGCGATACTCAGCCCTAATAGTGACAGTTTCAGCAGATATGACACAAATGTTTTCATGAAAGTTTCCAACTGTAGCTTTAATTGTTGATGTTTACATGACTGCTTTTTTGTTTGTGTTTTTTGTCGTCTGTATGGAAGACATTTGTGTCCTTTTTAAATGTGGTTGAATGTCATTTACTTTGGTAAATTCCAAAATATTAACTGTGAAGTCTCAGCCAAGCTAACAAATTTGTCTCAAGTGTCGTGTGCATCGACAACAACTACAGGATTATTTCTTGGTGAAATGCATTGAATTATTATTGATAGAAAAACAAATTTTATGAGCATAATAGTATGAAATAGCTTTTAGTCAATAAAGGCCATGAACCAGTTGCCACAGTGATTTAACAGTAATTTTAGATCAACCAAACTGTTAACTGTTTTAAAGCCACGATCAAAAAAGGGGCCTTTGTAGTGTAATATTTAAAAAGGCTTTTTTAAAAATGATAATAGGATGTGAAAACCACCAAAAGCTTATTTTGCCTAACCCATAGGTCAAATTCTCCCGGAACATGCATACATTATGTAAATATCCATACAGTTCTTGTTACTGCATAGTTCAGTCTTGTTTGAGACGAATGGATTACCAGCAGAGGATGTGGGCAGAAAATAGTGTCAGGTGGCCAAAGGTGAATTTCACTCTGCAGGGACTCATTAATGGTTACAAGGCTTTGGTCAGTGCTGCTGAAATTCACCAGCTCTCCACCACCTTTATTTGACAGCTTCATGAAAACAGTCCTAACCCCTGGGGAAATACGCACTGCAGTGTGCCAGTATGTGTACTGCTGAGAGCTCGGGCGAACAGTAACAGGATTCAGGCAAAGGAAACTGTTTTTCTTTCTCAATTTAGTGTGACATCAACAAGGACTTTACAAACAGGAGCTTGCAACCAGAAATATCCATATCTATAAGGGCCATCTCCCTGCTCAGAGACGACATGGTGCCCACAGTGTAAGGTATTTGACACAAAGGATTGCCAAACATGTCCTTACTCGACCCCTCCCTGTTTTTGAGGAGACTTGGGAAAACAAAGAAACTAAGAAAACAAGTGCTATGTTTTCCTTTTTCAGATTTACTTGAAGAGGTGTGTTAGATTTCTCAAGGAAATGAGTGTTGGTATGAACTAAGATCCAATAAAACTATTGTCTTTTGTTTCCAAAGTTGTCTGAGGTGGCGAAATTTAATCTGATAGATGAACTTTAAGTATCAAGGTTGTCTTGTTGCCACACCCCTTCCATCTTGCTTCTGAAAGCTGGAAGAAATAAGAAATGTTTTAAATTGCATATATGCATGAGTGAAACTGTCGAGACGTGAACATTCTTTCTTTGTTAATATTTGATTACTCACAGACAATGAGGTCAGTCTTAGATACCGGATCAAATAGGAATACTGTGATTATTGCATTCAGTCTGTTCTCTGTTTATGAGGTGACTCAGTGGAGTCGTCGGTAAATAATTCTTCAGGCAAAGCCACGCTGCTTTACTCTCGCGTTTCCAGGCCGCACTTCAATGACAGTCGTGTTGAATCTGAGCAACACAACCGAAGTGAAGGAGGTGTTAATGTCACGTCTCTTTTTATTGACTCCACTGAGTGATGCTTTCAAATGAACAGATGACAAAATCGGGGAGTTTAGTAAATAATTAATTATGTTCGGTTATATTCAGTTTCACACAGGCTTTGTTTGTACTTTGTCAGGGCTTTCCAGCTTTGGCCACCATCTGCATCTTTGTGTAAAATTAGACACTCTGTAGAGGAGGCTGCTTCCATGTAAGGGCAGTCGCAGCAGTATTGTTCTTCCTTCAGTCTTTCTTATTTCTCTAATGGCTAACTGCTAAATGTCTGCTTAGGGCTACTGTCGAGTAAAAGATGTGTGTAGGTGTTTGTTCACTAAAAGTAAATATGAGGCCACTGAAGCCTAAATTGAATTGGCTGGCTGTCGTATTTGTTGCTTTGTATCACAGGACAGCTCAGTGCTGGAGAGTGCAGAGAAGGCAGGGGGGTACTTATGTATGTATGGAAAAAGTTGTGTAAAGCCTTTTGTGGCTCCAGAGGGAGCTGCGCAAAATCTGATATATTGCCTTGAGTGATGTCATTTGAGGCAACATCGCTTGGGGCTGAAGACTACGAGTTTGAAAGAAAAAAAAAATGAGGGGGTGTGGAGTACCAGACCTCTGTATCTTGCTCCTCATCTCTGCTTGAGGCTACATTAGCTGCTTCTAGCATAATCCGCCCAAATCTTCAACTGTCAGCAGTCGAGTTGCATCATGGGTAATGTAGGTGCCTGGTTTTGACAAGGAAGAGGAATGTGTGGAACAACTGAGATGATTCTCTGGTTCTGCTGCATCAGTTTTGATCTTTAGTTTTTAAACTGACAATTGTGAGCTCGACAATGTTATGCTACCCCTGAGCTGACTGTTCGGCTGTGTGTCCCTGTGAAACTGTGACTCATAAACCCCCGGAAAATGTTCAAAGTATGCTGGCAAACCACTTGAGCAAGTGCAGCACCAAGGAATACACTGTGGTACCACAAATGGGGAACTAACATCATGATACCAGAATTTTAAACTTTTACGCAATATTAG